TGTAATGACTCATGCAACCTTGTAGTTTCCCCAGACAGTTTCCACAACATTTCATGTTTGATTTGCATGTCAGAAACATTTCCATTTGAAATCATCATTTGTTCCAATTCCTTTGCCCTTTTACACAATTGCTTTATCCCAGAATTCCTGTCCTTTTGCATAGATAATATCTTTGCTTCCGCTGCTTTATATGTGAGTTTAGCTGTCCTTTTACTAAGCCCATCCTCCTTTTCAGTTTGATTGACAGCAGCGTTTATTTCTGCGTTCATTTCCTGATTTTCCTCGTTACTCATGGCCATTATTTAGCAATCCACGGAGGCTTTGTTTAGAATTACTTTATGGGATTTGCCTGTATCCCGTTGCGTGAAGTCCACTCTCCTCCACAACCTTTTATTAATTAATAAATACTCCTACCGTGACTTTGATGTTTGGTTCGTCCCCGTTCCTCTTGCGTGTGCGTAACATGGATTTAAGTCGGGAAAAGTCCATGAATACAGCGCTGTCCTCCTATGTCCATCCGTCTTTGGAAGCAAGTTTTTCAACAAATGTAAAGGCAACCGAACAACAAATATTTGCCAGTGAGGGATATGGTGTGAAGCTTTTCCAGATGCGTGGTGTTGACAGCAAATCAGGTCTTCTCTTTGAGTGCATTTAAGATGTTTATTTGGGTTGCAGGCTGATGACAGCAAAACAAGAGCTGGGTGTTTAACTGATAACTAAACAACTAACTGTGATAAAGAAATAAACCGAAATTAACTCAAAATAAGCGAAAACACGCACGGTTGAAAAACTGTGTGGCTTCCCTCTGGTGATTCCGAATCCCTAATGCTGTGCACCTGTGTCCTCCCCAAATAGTAGGCTGTACCCTGAAATTGGCTGAGTCCCCGCCTATGCCCAGGTCAATTCAGTATTATCACAGCACCTTCATATACAAATATTAAAATACATCAAATTGGCTGCAACAGTAACCATGAAAACAATTCTGAAAACGTCTGGTTTATGTAGCAGCAAAAAGACTTCTAAACTCTTGGGATAATGCCATTGTTTTCACTCCAATAGCAATTCTAGAATGAATTCGCCTTCAAATAACTGCAATCGGTTTGGTCAGCTAAACATGTGACTGTATTAGACTGACTGTGCACTGATTTCATAATTGAATTCACAAAAAGACACACAATTTCTCATGTCACTTATCAGTGCAATTGCAGTGAATTTTACCAACAAAGATGGAGTTTAGCCAAAGTGGAGCTCACTTGAAAGACAAATGTGTAGCAAATGTTGGTACAATTACTGCTATATTAATGATATACACTCAGATTGTTGCAATTTAATTTATTTAATAGATGGACCTTTATTTATACCCCAGGGGAAATTCAGGGTTACCTTGTTAAACATAAAATTGCAACTTACTTTGATACAAAAATAAACAACCTAAACCTCCAAATGGAGGCAAATAGGAAACAATTACTAGTGTACAAATTTACATTTGACGATTTAGCCTAAAAGAGTGCTTCGATTGTAGTGTTATCACACCAGTGATGCTCTGTTGGAGATATTCATCTATCTCTGTGAATCGCTTTGTTGGGAAGAATCAGTTTAATGAAAGGAGAAAGATGGAGTTGACTGCAGCATTCCCCAAGAGATTTGATGGAGTTTGAAAAAAAATCTTAATTAGTTTCAGTTTTGAGTATTGAATAATTTACCATAGTTACAGGAAATCTGTTGAAATTAATGTAAATTTGGGGCCTGCTAATTTTAGGCAGTGAGTGACTTCGCCCCCGTTGAGAAGTCCGCTGTTTATTTAGTAAGGGGTAGATATGAAATGAAATGTTGGACAGGAATTATTGTTACTTTTGATATAGTGTGCTGCAACAAGAGTCTCTCTGTAGAACTGTTGTCATTCCAAACACTAACACTAGACACAGGTCAAAGTGTATAGAACACGACATAGAGGAACACTGGTTGCATGAAAAAAGACCAACCTGGAGTTTTTGATTTGTTGATTGTCATTGTAATTCGAAGTGTAACAGTCCGTACAGAGAGAGATGCAAGGACAACGCTTTACGCGAAAGTGGGTTTCGCGGTGTCTTTCCATACACCTTGTTGCATGCAGCTCTGCAGTCCATTGCCTGAACATAACACACATTATTTGAAAAACAGAACATTTAAGTCTGCATTTGTGCATGTTTGTTTAGATTGAATGCATATAGTACCATTTTACCAAAGTTCAAACATTTAAAAAATATATAATGTGTCAATTATTAAATTTATGAAACATAATCCCTGAAAAAGAAACCCTGGAGCTATAAAATTAATTGTGAAATAATAGTTTTATCCTTTTTTTCATCTATTGGTTTGTCCTGTATTTTAAAGTGTACACTAAAGAAAGTTGGTGTTGTAGTGCAGATTCTGCTGCCCTCTAGTGATAAATAGACAAATAACAACTGGTGAAAAAATCCATTGCTCTAGTCTACTCCTCCCTCTCTTTCCATCTGTCTCTCCTTCCTAAAACTCTTAATATTTTCCCTCTCTTAGGTGACAGATTTTGGCTTTGCCAAACGTGTAAAGGGCCGGACCTGGACACTGTGTGGCACCCCAGAATATCTGGCCCCAGAGATCATTCTCAGCAAGGTGAGCCAACCATGCCATTTGATATCGTGGTAGCTGTCACCTGTGTCTCCCTGAAAACAAGATATTCTACATTTAAACAAACAATGATACCAACGTTTTTTTACTGGATAGTTGTACATCTGAGTCGTCAGATATGAAACGCATGGTTACAGTTATATTGATTCAAAACGTATAGAAACATGTAGGGATGTTGATGATCATCTATAGATGGCACACATCTTAAATGTTGTTTTGATGCAACACATCATGTCACCTTTATTCATTGCTCTCAGTAAGATGCTTAAATAGCTATTCTTCAATATAATAACCACAGAAATATTTGTAATGAATATAATACTGCCAACGACACTGTGTATGACAATGACACCTCTTACATCCAAGCAAAGTGACATTGGAGTATACGTTAATTTAACTTGAATACGCTAAATATATTTCCTTGATTCTCTCTCTATAATGAACTATTTTTGTCTCCACTTCCCTCCTCCCTTGTTATATCTACCAGGGGTATAACAAGGCAGTAGACTGGTGGGCGCTGGGGGTACTGGTTTATGAGATGGCAGCAGGGTACCCGCCTTTCTTTGCTGACCAGCCCATTCAGATCTACGAAAAGATCGTATCAGGGAAGGTGAGTCTGACTCTGATTGCCATTCTGTGCTACAGTCACTATCAGGGATGCACTGATTGTGAAATTCTGGACTGATGTACGGATGTTTGAAACAACCATTTGGCTGTTGTTGCTTTTATGTTGATATGTATCCCCCTTTTTTGCCAGGGAATCTAAGACATCTTCATTATTTAAATCTTTGATTTCCGTTCACATACTGAATACAGCTGCAGTCAGCCATCTTGATTCACTCCTGATAATATGCCTTTATTTATCAAGATACTTCCTATGCATGTCAGTGTCAAATGTAACACACAAACAAACACAAGGTGCCTTTGAGACTCTTGGTAAAGTTTGAGTTTCAGTTCAGCCATGTTGGATACCGCTTGTCACACAAAGCAGGACTTCTTGTTCTAATACCCAATACCGTGAACTTTATACGGTATGATATGAATTTTTCATAAACCGCAATACTGTTGAAAAAGTGGCGAAGGGCGCTCGAGCGGTGCGGTAGTGAAAGGAGTCCCCTGGGGACGCCGCTGAAATGCATGCTGGGATACAGCGCCAAGCGTAGTAGCAGTAGCATAACTTGTGAAGCTGAATGTCAAGATGGACACTGAAGAAAATGAGACTGGAGGTGGATATACACACGACAAGGAGAGGAGCTGTGTCTGTTGTTTGGAGGTTTTTTGGATTTAAAAAAATCTAACGTGAACCAAAGAAACATTTATTGCAAATGTTGTCAAATTAAAATTGTTGCCTGAGGAGGTAACACAAGTAATTAACTCAACCACCTCAACAGAAAGCACTTATTAGAGTACAAAGAATGTATGAGAATACGATCTGCTTCAACAAGCGACGCTGGTGAAATGTCTTTCTGAAATGTTGCAGTTGTTTCATGCATTCTGACTCATGAGGGCCACCACTGATCAGGTGCTTTTTGTGGGGCCAAAACATATAAATGTAAATACATTTCCAATCATTGAAAAATAAATAAATACCGTGATACCGATACAATTTGGGAAATACCGTGATATGAGTTTTTTTGTCATACCGGCTGGCCTGTGAGGAATGTAGAAATGCATCACTTCTTCAGGCCACTGCATGTAAGCAGGTTTGGACCCAGCGTTCTAAATCTCATATTTTGGCTTTTTACTTTAGTACGTACTGCAGCTGCACTTTCTAAGTTAGTACTGTTCCATGCAGTATGCAGACAGTATCTTGCACTTTAATCATTGTCGCTCTTGTTCATATATCCACTGCTCAGTAGTGTTTGGGTCAGAATTGCCAGAATTTATTATTTTACTTTTTTCTCTGCCTGAGGATTTTACCAGGGAAACAACCTTTATGGATAGGTGTTGATGAAGTAGACAGGACCAACAATTGTAGTTGAATATATTTATTTCAAACTTTAACTAAAAACGCTCATGCTACTTCCTTCTTCTTCTTGTCTTTTGTCTCAGGTGCGTTTCCCATCTCACTTCAGCTCTGACCTGAAGGACCTGCTGAGGAACCTGTTACAGGTGAGAGCACATATCTCACTCATTCTGGTGTTAGGCCACATTTACTTTGCTCTGTGTTGTGAATGTATTATAACGTGAGGAAAACCTATTGATTAAATCCCCAGGTGGATCTAACAAAACGTTACGGAAACCTCAAGAACGGGGTCAACGACATCAAGGGACACAAATGGTTTGCAACCACTGACTGGATTGCGATCTACCAGAAAAAGGTATGTGAGAGTTTACTTTGTATATACACGTTGACTTCCTTTCTGTGGAATTCTCTTTTCAAACGGGCCTTTCGTTGTCATCAGGTGGAAGCTCCCTTCGTCCCCAAGTTCAAAGGACCAGGCGACACCAGCAACTTTGACGACTACGAAGAGGAGGAGATCCGTGTCTCCTTTAATGAGAAATGTGCCAAGGAGTTTGCGGAGTTCTAGAGTTAGAAAGTGAGAGAGGAAGGGAGTAGGAAAGTCAAAGGTAAGCTGGTCAAGTGGGAGACGTAAGGAGGAAGTACTGTCTCCTGTCCAATCACAAGCACCAGCTACAAACAGAGGGGGGGAATGGGATAGAGAAGGGAAAAAGAGCAAGGAGACTGATAACCAGCAGTGTTGCCTTTTCTGTTGTATTTAATTTATTATTCTGTCTTATTTATGGATCCCTTTATAATGAAGGTGTGCTTCAGATTCATGGGTGTTGGGAAGCCCACTTATTTAGAGTTGCCTCTACACATTTTAACACAAGATCTTCCCGGCTCTTCTATTGTTTCATTCATCATTTAGTCACTTTTGGGCCACATCACAGAGAAAGTCGGTTCTACTCTCCTGCAGGTTACATGAATTACATGATGCGTGGTGCAATTCGAGGTCTCAGTCTGCACAAAGGTTTCTTGCATTTAAACTGAAAACCTTCTCGTTGTTTTGTTAGCAAGAGGAGCAATTAGAGGTGCATTCAATGAATCACTCTCATGCACTTTTTACAATGTTTTCTAGTCTTTTTTTTTCCTTTATATACTTAAAACTCCACCGTTTCATATCATACACAGCATACGTCGAGTCAAAGTTGGCCAAAAGAAAAACTTAAAGTGGACGCATTGCATTCTCAAACAGGTTTCTGTCAGATACAAGTGACACTTGGGGGGGAGGGGTCACTAAAGTTTACTCCATCTATACTTCTTATCATTGTAGGCATAGCCAGGTTTGTGAACTCCATGTGGCTCCAATGATATCATGTCAGGTTAACAAACATGGACATTTGGATGGTTATATCTCAGTTTAATGGCGTAGTGACGGAACATTATAACATAATGGTATCTCAGGTTTGAACATATCACTTAATAAGACATTTTATCAACAGAAAGCGTTAGGATTAGCAGGTTAAGAAGACGTGTGAGACACTTGCTTATGATATAGATTTGGGAATATACTGTTCTGGTAAGCACTTAAAGGAACATAAGGGAATATTTAGACTTTTGGTTTGCGTTTTCTGAATGTTTCCTTCCAGAACATTTGGTTTTCAAACGTGACAAATCTGATTTCAAAGCACTCGCTGTTTCTGCTCAGAGCTCACCTACTAGTCAAGTTGATGCAGCATTTTGAATCAACCATTAGGCCCTCCCACGAATAGAGACCATCCGAGGCAGATTACCTTAAAACTGCGTCTAGTTGGTGCTCGATGTGTTTATGTTCATCTCCCCAGCCCTCTCCTCTTATCACTTGCTAAGTTGAGCCACACTCCACGCGACAGTCTTACATTTGACAGAGACTCTTTCCCATCTCTCTGTTTACATGCTTAATTTTTATTTTATTTTTCCATGCAAAGATGACTCAATTAAAAAAGTTAGAAGAAGGTAGAGCACCTGGAGTTTAAGAGAGCTCAGACGATACAAAAAAACATCTCAGTGCACAGGATACAAGCGGCCTGTTTAAAGTGCAAAAAGCTCTTCAGGTGCTCAATGCCTCTTTAGCTCTTGAGCTACTATGGCAAATAACTGAAGCGATGCGACAAAATGGTGGTCTTACGGAGTTTATAAAAGAAGACGTAGTGACATTAGTGTCTGTTTCAAACATTAAAATGCCTTCTTCATAGCTGTGTTGTGCCACCAAAATGAATATGTTCCGTTTTGGTTCCAAGAGGTGCTCCAGTTCTTGTCTGATTGCTTTAAAAATCCAGATAAGTTTGATGCACACAAGTCCTTCCTGTCCAAATAAAAAAATTACACATTTACAAGTTAACATCAGTGTAAATTCAAGGTGGGCTAAATGAGATGATGTGAGGTCTATGTAGCCCACATTTCATGGCCGGATTATCCAGCTAGTGGGGTCCGGGCCCCTATTAACCCATCCTCCCTCTCTCTGTACATTAGACAGTATCACTATGCCGGAATATGACATGACCCAGTTTTACTGTTCTGTAATTTGACTTAAACACTACTTTGTGAATATGCATCATGTAAGCACATCATTACCAGAATTAATGAAGGTCTTAAAGGGCAAGTGATTCAGCGTTGCACTTGAATAAAACTTGCAAAAGACTTGCAGCAGAGGCTTGGATTTATATAACTGTCACATCATACGGGATGGATGGTAGAGCGGGGAAAGATTCTAATGTCGACGTGCGACACAATTTGACAACTTTTATAGTCTATTTTCTTTGACAAGTAAAGAAGCAGGAACTATCTAAAGTCCCGTTCTAGTGTCAGATAAAGTTGTGCTTTAGTAATGTGTTTAATTAAGTTATATTACTACAAACCAACTCATACAGTTGACCTGGGGCTGTTGGGTGCTATGGACAGTTGCTTTCCTAGTTGGTAGCCTCAACAGTGTCCATTAAAAAAAAAAGGATTTGGATTATTTTCATAGAAATGAGTCACAGTACAAGGCGACCAACTTGTGACCAAAAGGGTTGATCCCCTCCCCCATACACCCACTACTTTTCATATTGTTCTTTTTGATTGAGATGTGAAACAGCTGAAAAACATTTCATTGATCAATCTTGAGTGAAAAATGATATTGGCAGATTAATGGTGGCAAAAGCTACAAAGTTGACACTCGGTTTCAGCCGGCTTATTGTTTATGAGTAATTTAACTTTTATTTTCCTTATTCTTATTATTATGACATTGTTGTAAACCAATTGTTGAGAATTCACACTCGCTGTATTACCTCCATGTCAAGTTTAATGTTGACTATATCATCATGGACAAAATGTTTGAAGTTCTAATATTATTCCGTGTCTCCTCGATGTTTTTTGCAGTGATACAACTTCCTCTTGATGCAGGCACAATGCTGGTACATACTGTCGCACTTTTTAGGGAAATGAGACCCCCATGTAAACCATGTTAACCCCCTACCCATACACACACACACACACACACACACACACACACACACACACACACACACACACACACACACACACACACACACACAGACACACTGCAAAGGGAAGCGTCTAAAGTCACGGGAACAGTGACATAAAAACACGAAGTGTAATATTTTGCAACATGAGTATCATTCCAATAAAGTTTTACTTGTAAAATTCTACTGAACGTGTGTGTGCTTCCTGGATGTTTGTATGATGGTGGAGCTCCTGTGAGTTTGGAAAACAGTAAATTGTAGATTGTGACATAACTCAAATGAAGCCTTAGTGTTGTAGCCTGGAGGTCAGACATCTATCATTGCCATCTGATGCGGAAAGGAGCCTACATCCACCCATCTGTTGACCGCCCTATTCAGTCTGATTCACCATGATATGCTTAAAAACACGTCTCCGCCCTCACTGTTTGTTCCGCGCAGTTGTGTTTCTTTGTGTCTGTTCAGATTTTATAAACGTCGGTTTGATCAAATCTTGACTGCGAACAAAGACTCTGATGCGCCCAAAGCCAATTCCACCTTAATTTTGAGTTTTGTGCTGGAGACATGCGCCATCTTCGGTCCACCTTAAGCGCACATTGTGGCCAACGAACGACAGCGTACCAGCCAGGCTTCCGTCCTCATTCTCCAGCCGGGGATCGCACTCCGGCTTCCCTGCTTTGACATAGCGTCACTTGTGAAACAGAAGAGGAGGAAGGAAGAAAAGACGCACTCGGGCCAAACCCCATCCGCACCAGCAGGAGAAGATGTCCGAGCCCAATAAGTACCGAGAGTGGATCCTGGAAACAATCGACTCTCTCCGCTCGAGGAAAGCCCGTCCCGATCTGGAGAGGATTTGTCGAATGGTCCGAAGACGACACGGGTCAGACCCGGACCGAACCAGGACAGAACTGGAGAAACTGATACAAGAGCAGACCGTGCTCAAAGTTAGCTACAAGGGCTCCATATCGTACCGGAATGCAGCGAAGGTGCAGAGGAAAAGCCGAAAGAAGAGTGAGTTTACGGCCGCTGGCAGCAGCAGCAGCAGCGGCGCGGAGGCAGCGAGGGAGCGGACCAAACACCACCATCCGAACAACAACAGTGCTCACAGCTTCACCGACCAGGAGGAGGAAGAGGAAGACTCGGAGCCCAGCCCAGGTCCCCACACTCAAACATCAGCCACCGACAAGAAGCCCAAGCCTGCCTCCAGCCCGAGTAGCGGAAACGGGTTCCAGAGCTGTGGCGCAACATCGGGCTGCGCTTTCGGGAGCGGCAGTGAAGAGGAGAAAGCAAGTGCACCTAGAGGCGAGGGATTAGGACAGCAGGGAGTGGGGGACTGTAACATAACACACGCACACGACGACGGCGGTGGCGATGCCAGCGGGATAACGCCGAGCAAAGCCGATGCAGTTCGGGGAGAAAAGGAGCGGTGTTTGTCCCGAGATGACACCCAGAACAAAACTTCCTCCGGGAGCGTCGGAGACCACCCGCAGCAACAGAGAGAGACTGCGCCCCTCAAGCCCAAACTTCGAGTCGGAGGAGGAGGGGGAACCAAAACAGCGGGGAACCACGCCAACTCCGACCTGGGCGACAGACTGGTGGCTTCTGTTCGCCGCCTGTCCGAAAAGAGCATCCGAGGGGGCTCCACCAGCGCCACCAGAGGCCACATGCAGCCGCTCGGGCTGAAGGAGATCCTGGGCTACCTGAGCAGCCAAGAGCGGCTGTCGGAGGAGAAGCTGACCCGAGGCAAAGTCAAAGTGGTCATGGAGAGAGAGGTGGCGAGGGGCCGGCTACGCAGGACCCGCTGCGGGAACATCACTTTGCCGCTGAGGGGGGTGGTGACGGAGGAGCCGAGGACCGCGGACAGACTTGTGAAGAGCGCACTGCAGGACACGGTGACAAAGGTGGGCTCCGATAACTTAATATTTCCAACACGTCCCGGCTGTACTGGGCGCTGAACGCTTGCTTGTTGATTGCTCGCTGATAAATTAATGATATTAAAATCGCACGAAAGCCACTAGGACGCGCTCGGCTTATCGCTCGCCTCGTTCATGTTTCTAGTTCTACTACGTCGATATTTTACATGTAAAAGTGTTTGGGGCATATTTCACACATTTAGTGTGTTTGTGTGTGTGTGTGTGTGTGTGTGTGTACGTGTGTGTGTGTGTACATGTGTGTGTGTGTACATGTGTGTGTACATGCGTGTGTACATGTGTGTGTGTGTGTGTGTGTACGTGTGTGTGTGTACATGTGTGTACATGCGTGTGTACATGCGTGTGTGTGTGCACATGCGTGTGTAAATGCGTGTGTAAATGCGGGAGCTACGGAGCGGTATTCCCGGCTGTGCGCGAGCACGAGCCGCTCTGGTGTCGTCTTCAAATCATGCTTAGGATCCTTTATGTTTGCTTCTCGCTCTCACGAACTTTGGCTGCGGACGGACTGGGCCTGCCTAGCGGGAGGCGGTGTCTGTCTAAACTTGAGACGTGCCGCTGCCGCTCTGTGCACGCTCGGGCCAACCTGCGGAGGACTGTTCCTCACGTAACATCGGTAAACATTTTGTGAGGGCGCGTTTTCTAACCGGGTAGTTTTGTTTTCCTCTTCCGTTTTATGCCTCATTAAATCCTTCGGATATTTTCTGACAGCACGCTCTCCTCCCTCCGCGGTGCACACTCGAGTTGTAGGCGGCTATCGTTAGCGTCAGTGGTGGAAACAGTATTCAGGTGCTTCACTTGAGTAAAAGAAGGCCTAATACATTAGTGCCAAGATACTCCATTACGAGTTAAAAGTCCAGCATTCAAAATAATACTTAAGTAAAAGTGCAATAGTATTATCAGCTAAATGTAGGCCTACTTGTAGTAGGCTCACAAGTACAAGTATACTTTACCTTTATGTGTGTATCATTATATTTATACACTGATTACAAATATAAACTGAAAAGATATAAGTGCACTGCGCATTTTAAAGTGGCCTTTTATTGTGACCAGCCTAAGGCACACTGTAATCTTGCTGTCTAATCAGCATCTTGATATGCCACACCTGTGGGATGGATGGATTATCTCGGCAAAGGAGAAGTGCTCACTAACACAGATTTACACAAATTTGTGAGCAATATTTGAGGAATCGGCCTTTTGTGTACATAGAAAAGGTCTTAGATCTTTGAGTCTTTCAGCTCATGAAAAATGGAAGCAAAAACAAGAGTTTATATTTGTGTTCATTGTATACATGACAAAATGTGTTGCATCATCATGTAGCATTTTATTGTTGTAGACAAACAAAGTTCTGATTGACTTTTTGTAAAATATTTAAATAATTTGACTCTTGAGGTTTAGTCCACCATTTTAATTTTTAGAGATGCATTTTGTTAAAAGTAGCTAAAGCTGTTCAGTAAATGTAATTATTTTAAATATTGAAGCTTGTATAAAGTTGGATAACATCGAAATACTCAAGTAAACCTGTACCTCAACATTGTACTTGAGTACATTTACTTAGTCACTTCCCACCTGTGGGAGTGGGAGTGGGAGTTGTTTGTCCTCTTTCCAAGACTCCGCTCAGGTTGCAGTGAATAAGAACTTTGCTCAAACTCAGGTGTCGCCCCTTTCACCTCAGAAAACACAATTTATCTCCAGTTTGTTCTTAATGGAGACATATTTTAATGCAACTTTCTCTGTCAATGCAGCCGCCGTCCCCCTCTCCCAGGGAGAATGAGGCGATGGAAACAGCCAGTGAAGAAGAGGATCCCCGGAGCTCAGACGAGGAGGAAGGTCTATCCCCTGTAGCCATGACAACCGATCCGGAGCTCATTGAGAAAACCTCAGAAGATGCTCCAGAGATCCAGGCGGCATCAAAGCAGGAGAGCTCCCAGCAGCAGCACAGGGGTAAAGGTGTGTCCATGTGCGTGTTGATGTGGGTCCTGGAAAGACCCCATTAATCTCCCTTTTTTTTAATTAGTAAGCCTAGTACAAACATTTAGTTACATTACCTTTTTATTATTGCTGTTTAAAATAAGTTGATGTCATTTATGTTTATTTTGTGCCTTGTTTTCCCTGTGAAGCTCACTTGTTTGTACCGATTTTGTGAATTTACTGTATAAATAAAATATCATTTCATAATAATGTTAATATCAATACACAATTATCTTTCCAACAACTGTCAAACAATATGAATTTGAATACTATAACTATTATAATAATAAGGCTTGTCTTTATCTCTTCTCTTCCCTCTTTTCCTCTGGGTTTGCTTGCTGGTCTCAGGGATGGGTGGGATTGATTCCCTCACCAGGACGGAGCTTCCACCTGTTCAAGGAGCTTCACTGTGCTCATGTAACAGCGCACACTTAGAGGAGAGAGCTGTCCGTCCTGATCAGCTACAGAAGGAGGCACATGTGAGTGAAAGCTTGTGCTTGTTTTAAATAAATGATTTCTGATCAAAATCACTATAACGACAGCAATGAAATAAAACGTTCTTTGATGCATCGCTTTACTACATCTTTGAAAAAGGCAAAAAATGCCCCAAGAATATACTAAAACATGTACTACTTCTCAAGTCCTTCACCAGTTATGGAATTAAATTGAGACACTTTAACTTGTATATATAATACTATTGTTTAAAATACCTTGATTCAAGATATTAATATTGCTTAAGTAAAAGTACCAACAAATTATTTTAATTAGCTCCGAAATATTTGTCCGAAATGAAAGTAAAAGTACTGATGAACAAAACCCAGTTTTGTGTACTAAACGCTATATTATTGAGTCTTAGTGCAGTGTTTTTGAAAGTGGGGGCCCTGACCCCCCGGGGGGGCGACAGGGGGGTCACGCAAAGTTTGAGGGAAACTGGATTTTTAAAAAAAAGTTTTAGATGTTATTAATAACTGCATATCTATCAATCTGTGTCCTTTGAGGCCAATCTTTTCATATTTTTTGTTCTTGAATCACACGACCGCCCTTGAAGCCAATCAGAATCGAGCTGCCGCTACTGAGAGTGAAACCGAGTATTTCCTCAGCTTTTGGAGCAAGTGAGAGCTAGTGAATATTTCGCTCTACAGCTGGATGAGAGCACGGATGTAGCAAATGTTGCAGAATTCAGATTTATTTCAGAAGACAATACAAAGCCCGAAGCCGTCAGTCCACAGTGACGAAGCCATCTTTGTCACAACTTTGTTGAGGAAATATTATTTTGCAAAGCACTGGAAGGTAGGACCACATGAAGAGACATTTTCCAAGTTTTAGATGAGTACATCATCTCAAATGGACTTGACTGGTCTCGTTGTGTGGGTGTGTGTTCAGATGGGGAAGTGGGGCTATGACAGGCAAAAAAAGCGGAGTGACAGCTTTGATCAGGCAGAAGGCCCCAAGTGTAGTGGCAACGCACTGCATCGCTCCATCGCGAGGCACTTGTACACATCATTTAAAAAGATTATTGCAACAGGGGGGTCCCCGCCAGAGGATAACTCTATATGGGGATCCTTGGCATGGCAAAGTTTGGGAACGCCTGTCTTACTGTGATGGATTAGCATGCATGTTATTTTAGCAGTTCAAAGCAGTGCTCATTTTTATTACATTATTATAACAGAATTGTAGTGAAGTAGAAGTTTGAAATACCATGATGAAATATACAGAAATACTAAAAAAAAAGTTTTAATTATATTTTAGAACAAAAGGCTCACCGTGTTGCATAACAAATCTTTCTGAAGAAACAATAGTTATTATCACACCAGCTCGAGTGCGCTGGAATTTGAAAATACACAACCGGAAAAAATTTGCCCCTTCCTTCAGACTTCCTTACAGAGCCCCTCCTCCAACACACACAATCTTCATCATTAAGTAAAACACACTTTCAGTGTTGCACTTGGACTAGCTCCCAGAGTCAGAGCAAACCATCCAGCTGAACTTTAAAAAAATTAATCGATAATCACAGAATTGTTCGTGACGGTTTGAAAACTCACAAAATAAAAAGAACATGAAAAATAATTAACCAGATGAGCTGAAGCACATGTGCTTGCTATCCTAGGTAATTGAAAATGTTCTCCACGGTCTCGTGGAACTCAAGTGTTGTACTACGCCTTTAAAAACGCTCCTTTGTTTGCTCTTTTCTCTGATGCGGCAGTCAGGAGAAAAATAAAGTGCAGCGTAAAGGACCCGCATACAGAGAACAAAAAAAGAGATGCAGATTCCAGTGTGTTTCTATTTGCTACATAAAGGTGCACAGAAAGTGTTCATAGAGGGCAAAAGGGAAAACCTTTCACTATTTTGACCTCTTCAATGATTTTGGGAGAAAAATGTGTTCCATTATACGAGTAAAATCCAACCATGAATATTGACAGGCATGATGGGGTAAAGCAGTTGCCACTATGTTTGTGCACGCATGCATTAACCAAAACAACACCGCACGACACATCATACATACAATACATCATCAGAAGCAATGTTACATGCACCATAAAGACCAACAACAGCACACACACACACACACACACACACACACACACACACACACACACACACACACACACACGCACACACTCACGTAAGACACAGAAATATTATTTAAAACTCTACCCAAGAATACCTCTGATGCTTTTAACATAATTTCCCCCCCTGTCTCAGATATCTTCTTTTTGTCATGCTTATCATTTTGTTGCGAATCAGAAAGTAGAATTTGTGCAATCATACAAATATCTCGGGACAATTATTGACTCAAAATTGAGCTCTGATCCAAACGGTCAAGCTGTGTGCAAAAGGGGCACCAGCGTTTGTACTGTCTTAGGAAACTGTCCTATTTTAAACATTGACCAAACCATGATGGTGATGTTTTATCGTGCTTTTATCGAGTCAATTCTGTCTTTTTCACTCATGTCATGGTTTGGTAACCTAACTTTAAAGAGCAGAAACTCTCTGAGTCAGATCATAAAGTGGTCCAGCAGACTGATTGGTGAGCCACAGCTAAACCTGGAGACCCTGTACCTCAGGCAGTTACAGCGGTTATCCAGCTCCATATTAGACGATGACTCCCACCCTCTGCACTCAGAATTCAAGCTTCTTCCTTCGGGCCGGAGGTTACTCGTCCCAAGGAGTAGAACGAAGCGGTATAAAAACTGTTTTATCCCAGCAGCTATTGCACAAATTAACACATCATAGGAGCGTCACACAGATGCCTTTTTATTTATTTATTTAAGAATTTTGAATGTTTGTACTAGTGTTTTTCTTCTTAAATGTTTTTGAAATATTTTGAGATTTGGTTGAGCAGTGTGCACTTTTTATTAGTCCTTTTATTAGAGATGTGTCAGTTGTCTGTGTTTGTTTTTAGAGTGTGTCAGGATGGATCCCTTGTCATTTTCTCTGCAAACAAAATCTACCTACGGGTACAAATAAAGAACCTGAACCCTCTCTCCTCCACATACAGGATGACACAACCAACCACACCCCCTCAGGCTTTAACAGTAAGTTCTGCTTTACAGATCATCTCAAAAGAAGTGTGTATGCGTTTGGTGGCTTGCAGTGACGACAGTTGATCACACTGCACTCTGTTTTCCCATCGTAGGTCTGGAGTGTAAGACAGAGGTTGGCATGTCGTCCTGCCTGCTCACACCCACTGCCTCCCCGAGAGACTCCGGCGTGTGTGAGGAGCGAGGGATGAACGGAGGACTTGGCGGTGGAGGAGGGTGAGTAGAGCAGAGATACTGGAGACGCTATGACTAAAGTCCAATTTGACTTAAAGCACGTTCTCACTCAACTGTAGTCCCATTTCAGTGGTCAATAAATCACCAGGCATTGCATGTTCTTTCTTTCGTGTAATCCAAGTTGACTCTTTCCCTCTTTTCCCTTTGGCCACATGAGGGAAGCATAAACACATCGGGAGGGCATCACCTTTTAAAGTGATGTGGCACATTTATCATATCCAGAAGTTATATACCACCATTATTAGTCATTTCGGAGTTGTGTCTCTGTCTCTCTGATCAATGTTAGTCTAATGTTCACTTTCTTTTACCTCTGTATTTGGTCTTCACCAACTACTAAGGGAAATATCTGTCTCTTTAGCATCTAAAAGCTACACTTGGTTCACCAGCTAGTCTCTAACTGAATCTCTATTTGCTTGACGCTGAGCCAGTACAGTAGTGTAACGACAGTTACAAAAACAATGTGAACAATGAGTTACAACTCAATATAAAGCTCTGTAAGCCAAGTATCAAAATATTGATTATAGCCTTTTAAATGAGCCAAGCCATTTCATATGAATCAGAACGTAACATATCATTCTCCTGTTTACACTAAAACAGTGCAGTTTCAATATTAAAGCTTCCATTTATTTATCAGTAAAAACATTGACCTAACAATGCTAATTGTAATTGAATAACGCTTTACCGAGTGCTCAAAGACGCTTGCTAATTCTCCCGTTCTAATAGAGCAAACACATAATTTATATATATTATTTATTTATTTATTGAGATCCAAATCTCTTAACAACCCAGAAGTTAGTACAGAGAAAAAAAAGATATAATAATAATGATAATGGTAATAACATAAAATATAGCTATAAATATTTAAACATATATATATATATAGATAGATATACACACCACCTCAATAGGAATTCTAAATAAATGCTTTCTTGAATAGCCTTGTCCTAGGTATAAAACAAATATGCAAGTACAAGCACATTGTGTAAAACAGTCTCACCTAGAATCACTAGAACTCCTAACCAATTGTCCAATCATCAAGTTTCAGTCTATTCTGTAAATTATTCGAGAAGAATAGGCAAAACTATCAGAAGGTTGTCTCTCCCAGATTAGTATTTACTGCAGGAACATGTTATGTTAGCCTCCGCCCACAACAGGTGTTATAGGTATAATGTCTGTAAAGGCACACGAGTGACAATACTCTTTTAAGTAATCATTTGATGCTTCATGAATCCAAACATAGGGAATAAACCCCTTTATAAACCCTGGAATAAAACACAAAACTACATTCCTTATTTAAGCTGTCTTCATTCCAAGAGTTTACGATTTCCAGATGTCCTTCAGGTTTTTAATTGGCCAACCGCCATCTTCCTTATCTCTCTAGGTTTATAAAGTCTGAGGGGACCATTGGGAGCCCGATGGACTGGACAGTGTCTGATGTGGTCAGTTATTTCACAGAAGCAGGTTTCCCTGAGCAGGCGGCTGCATTCGGGATCCAGGTGAGCCTGTCAATCCCATTAACGGCCACTAGAGGACACCAGAGACACGGTTAATGTCTGTACTTGAACCTCTCACAGCTGTAACCCACATCTACCTCCCCACATTGCTTTGCTCTCTTCATTAGGAAATCGATGGCAAGTCTCTTCTCCTGATGCAGCGTAACGATGTTTTGACAGGCCTGTCGATCAGACTCGGCCCCGCCCTCAAGATCTACGAGCGCCATGTAAAGGTTCTGCAGAAAACACACTTTGATGAGGAGGACTGTTAACAACAGAAGTACACACAGACTGTTGTGTCTGTTGTATCTACATATAGCTCAAGTTATCAAATACTATACAACTATATGCATGATATACAATACACTTCAATGTTCATCTCATGTGCAACATCATACACAAACACACACACACACACACACACACACACACACACACACACACACACACACACACACACACACACACACACACACACTGTGAATGCTCTGTCCCAGAAACAACACACAAAAGTAGAGCTGGAAAGGAGCCAAAAGGAGCACAAATGTTGGAGTGAGTAGGAAGACTTAAAATGTAAGATGCAGAGGATGCACAAAATAATGCAATATCCCCAATATCAAGCACTTTGAAATGTATCGACCAAACTGTGCAAAATGTTTTTATTGTGTTTATATATTAGTTTGCTCTGACCTTTATGCACATTTTGAAAGAGGTCGGGTCTGTGTGGAAGTTATAAAAAAAACTTTTGGCTTTTTGAGGCACTGATGCAAGGGTTACTTGCTTGTAGGTGTGTGTTTTGTACACATACTGTGAGTGTGTGTAGAGGCATGGAATAGTAGGTTGGATTGAGCAGAAACATTCCCTGAAACTTAGATGGTTGGCACGCTGACCCGTCAGTCGTCCTATATGTCAGGATAAAATCCCGTGCAGGGTCGATGACCTTGTACAAGGTCCTTGGACAAAGCAATAAACTCGTAATTCACCCTAGATGTTCAAGAGGTTGTTGAATCTTGTCAGCTCGCTGATCGGCAGGTAGTTGATTTTGTGTATATTTCAGATACAAAACTCTTTGACATAATGTTTTTAAGCAGAGCTCGCATTATCTGTTCTGACCTATGCATCAGCACATTGGGGGCCAGTTTCACAGACAGATTGTGGCTTAGATCAAACCAGTAACACTCAGAGACGTCAAAATGAATCCGCCGCACAAAGCTTTTCCGTTAGTGACTGTCTTAAGAAAGGACTTCTTTGCAATAGAATAGCCAATATAAGAGTTTTTCCAATAAACATGTTTGCCCCCTGGAAGGATTAAATGATCAAAACAACACTTTTTCTTGGGAGATTCAGCAATAATAACAATTCACAAAACGTATCTACTGTAAAAATGTTTGAAACATCATGCATTCTTATTACTCTACTCTTATTCTAATCATGAATCGAGAGCCATGTTTTCCCTTTATATAGTTGTTGGGTGCCACTGGTCACCATTGTAACCAGGTGATTGTAGTCATAGAAACATGGCTCTTAGTTCAGAGTTAGCGTTGGGGTACGGCAGCTTAATTTTAGGTCCCCAAAAAAAATGTAACTTGCATTAGACTCACCATAGTAGGATATTAAGACTGGACTAACACTACACACAAGTCTTTATGTTGTTGTGAAACTGGCCTCAGAAATGTTGATCAAACAAGCCGGCTCACTGAACTGAAATCAGCAGAACAATCGGATCTCACTTAGTGTAAATAGATAAAAAATGATGTCCATCCAATACATCAGCCTCCATTTGTAAGTAACTGAGAAACAACTATCTAACTGAAAGATGTTATGGCAGGGTAAAGCTGAGCCAATCAATAATCTGATAACACCAGCATTTTTCAACTATTACCGGTCAAACCTTAGAAAACCAATGCTGCCAAATGATCACACGTCTCATTCCCACCGTCACTGTCACGACAAATATTCCAGGTTTGGTATCTCTGTGCATAAATTATAAAATGATGTTTATCTTTTCTCATATCTGTGTGTTTATCTTCTGTTTGTTTAGCATAATGCTGTCATGTTCTGAATGTTTTCAGTCCACTCTCAACACACCAATAGTTCTTAAAACCTCCTCTACCTCTTTCCCCTTCACTTTCACTTACTTTGCATATCCAGAAACACGTTACAGTAGGCCTGTCACAATTCTGTTCTTAAGAATTTTCAGAATGTGAAAGAAATATTAAAATATCACAAAAAAAGACCACACATCCAAAACACAAGTTAGATTAGATTTTGGTCTCTGTTAACAAAAATGTGTAATACCCAAATCATTGAATGTTGGCTAAAGTGTTGGTGACATTGTTATGTAAAAAAAAATGCATGGAAAACAACATGCATATAACAACAGGTAGTACTGAGATTATCAAAAATGTTTGAGTTCACATACTTTAGTCTAAATCTCAAGTTATTCCACTTATTTTAACATGTATGTTACGTTCGTTGCCACTGTTATCAATCAAATCAATTCATTGTCATTAGTTGAACCTGTTGGAGAGGACAGCTGTGTCTGAGTCCAGATTCTCATGAGGGCAATGTACAGTGTCTCAAGTTATTTGTTAAAATACTTTTTTTGTAATAAAAGTTTTAATTAAAACACCAAAGTATGTCCATCCTGAGTGTGTGTGTGCATGTTCTTTGACACACGTGCTTATGTGTGAGGAAGGGAATCCAACAACAGCAGCTCCCTTCAGTCACAAGAAGTCAAAGACTGTGCTGTGTTTGAAAGACATCCGGACAAAACAGACTAAAAGTCTGTTCTTTTGGAAATAGGCTCTATACCCACATTTGTTATGACCCATCAATATTTCAGAAAGTCAGGAAGTGTTCTCCATGACAAGCTAGTGCCTGCATTTGCTGGGAGGAGGAAATGTCATGCCGCTATACCTGTCCTGGGACTCAATGCAAAGTAAGTGCTTGTGTGCGTATGATTGCACATCATTGGTTCACAAATGAAACAGGGAAGTTTATTTATACTTCCACTGACGTATCCCACAAACATGTTGATTCAAGGCAACATAGAAAAAAGAAAAGACTGATCTCTCTACTTGGAAATAAACCAAAACCACACCAGGGCAGTTCAGAACCTGAAACCTTTGGCACTGGTCGCAGCCGAAATTGGGTCATACAAGATCAACTCCCACAGTAAACAAGTGCAGACGACAGAGAAGGAGCAGGTCTGAGTGGAGATTTAGGATATCTGACCAGACAAAGGAGAGCAGTCATGCCCAGCTCAGGAGGAGCAGAGTGAGTACAACTGCTGTGATTGTGTATGCATATTTTAACTAACTCTTATATATTTAGTATTTTTCTTGAATTAAAATGTGTAACTTAGAAATTGTGCATATTGCATGTGCTGTTGATCAAGTTTAAAAAAAATATAGAGTCATATTGCTTTAAAACGTAAAGCTATTGATAAGCTATTAGGATCTTTTCATGTGTTTACAGACTATATACTGTAGTTGCTATGTGCAGAGCCAAAGAGAGTCTAAATTCAGCTCAGTGTCACATGAGGAAATTAGAGCTCCAATAGAGCCTGCATGATGTGTGAGAGTCATAATGTGTCTCTTGTTTGGAAGTCCAAAAGGAGAAGATTTCTCCACTGCCATCCTGAAGCAGAGACACAGACCCAACAGACTCATTGTGGACGAAGTGCTCACTGATCTCACCAAAGCTCACAATGAAGACGGCAGCATCGTCAGCCTGTCACAGGTCAGTGTGTGTGTGGGTGTGGATCTATATCATGTACATATGCGTATTTTGTTGAGATTTTTGGTTTGTGCACTAGGATAAGATGGAGGAGCTGCAGCTGTTCCGCGGGGACACGGTGGTGTTGAAAGGGAGGAAGCGTCGCCAAACGGTGTGCATCGTCCTGACTGATAACACCTGTGGGCAAGAGCGAGTCCGCATGAACCGTGTGACGCGCAACAACCTGCGTGTCCGGCTCGGTGATGTCATCAGGTAGATCTTATAGACTGTTACTTTGTGTATGGGGTCAAGGTCCAGGGGTTCAAAGTGTCAGGGGCCCCTCTGGTCGTCTAGCCTTCACCCACAACATTTCACTTAAAGACAAGTACCAACGAGGAAGAGACTTAAAATGACCCCAAAGAAACATAAAACTAATTCAAAGAGAAACCAATAGACAACGAACAGACTCAAAAATTACAAAAAGATTCTAACAAGATCTTAACAAAACAAAACAAAAAAGATCTAAGACACTCAAACCTACTACAAGGATACTCCAAAAACTACAAGACATAAACCAACTATATGTAGAAATAACCACAATAAACACCTCTAAAAACACAGAAATGGCAAAAAAAAGACCAATAATACAATGATAATTGAAAAGGGACACATAAGTACCACAAATAGACAAAAATCAACAAAGAGATTTAAACCAGCTACAAAGAGACTCCAAAAACTATAACCAACTACCAAAACACATAAAAAGGGTAAAAACTGAAACAAAAAAATGACTTAAAAAGACCACATAATAGCAAAGAGATACTAAGTATAAACAGGTTTAAAATAATGTATTTGTGTTTCGCTTCTATTGAAAGCTGGGGGGGGGGCTTTTGCATGTCTGTACCCAGGCCAACATTGTAATCCGCCCTTGGTATGGAGTAACATGTGAGGTTTGACGACAGTATATGAAGTGACCAGGATGTCGATGTGTTTTTTTATAACAGTATTCATGCCTGCCCTGATATCAAGTATGGGAAACGGATCCATGTCCTCCCAATAGATGACACCATTGAGGGCCTGTCTGGAAACCTCTTTGACGTTTTCCTCAAACCGTACTTCCTGGAGTCTTACCGGCCCGTCCATCAAGGTACTGAAACTCCTCTGCTGATGTTACCCTGATCCTCCCCTCTGCATCTCATAGAGCTGATGGATAGTCCCTGTATGTGATGACTTTTTACCTGTGTTTCCAGGGGACATCTTCTTGGTGAGGGGGAGCATGAGGGGGGTGGAGTTCAAGGTGGTGGAGACTGACCCCAGCCCTCACTGCATCGTAGCCCCGGACACTGTCATCTACTGCGAGGGAGACCCAATCAAAAGGGAGGTCTGTGACACATCCAGCCTCTTCACCAGCTCTGTACTGAGATCAGGATGTCACTGAGTACATTTACTGTAGTACTTTACTTAAGTACATTTGTTAGGTACTAATACTTTGAGTGTTTTCATTTCCAACCAGCAAATATTGTACTTTTTACTTCACTTCATGTATTTGCTAACTTTCTGTCTCACTATTTGTTACTTTGCAGGTCAAATAAAATATAACGAAGAATGATTATGTTTTTTTTTAAAGTGTATTAAATGGAACAAACATTAAGTAGATCCAGCTTTTTTAAGGGAGTTGCTGCTTTCATTTGTCTTATGTGGTGGTAAAAAAGGCATATTTGGTTGTTAGACTAATGGCTGCACAAAATAACTAAATTGAACATATTACTTTGGCCTCTGGAAAGTCGGAAAGGCATTTCTGTCAGTAAATGCACCAAACGATTATTCGAGAAATGAATTGGCAGATAAATGGATTAAAACCAACAGAATCTTTAGCAAAGTCGCCAAAGTCCTCCAGCCTGGATAGTTTCATGTAACCTTGTATGCATCAGGTGCCGGCCACTGAGCATACACCACGATCATTACAACAAATAAACTCAAACAGGGCTGAATCTTGTGTATCACCCTCTGATAGGACGAGGAAGAGAGCCTTAACGACATCGGCTACGACGACATTGGAGGCTGTCGGAAGCAGCTGGCGCAGATCAAAGAGATGGTGGAGCTTCCTCTCAGACACCCGGGCCTCTTCAAGGCTATAGGAGTGAAGGTGTTGTAGCTTGACCCCATACACTCTGATCTCTGCTTCCTTTTTTATTTGAGCATTATTCTCTTTTATTTACTCAAAGTATTCTTCTGTCCTCTCTCTCAGCCCCCCAGAGGGATCCTGCTGTACGGCCCTGCAGGCACAGGGAAGACCCTGGTGGCCCGGGCTGTGGCCAACGAAACTGGGGCCTTTTTCTTCCTCATCAATGGTAAGGGAAAATAGGATATGACCCTGTTCTTACTGTATGTATAGCTCTCTTTGTATAGGAGGAAATGTGTTTAACATGCCGTGCATTATTCTGTGAAAAGGTCCGGAAATCATGAGTAAGCTGGCAGGAGAGTCAGAGAGCAACCTAAGGAAGGCGTTTGAGGAGGCGGAGAAGAACGCTCCGGCCATCATCTTTATTGATGAGCTGGACTCCATCGCTCCTAAGAGAGAGAAGGTGAACAATAGATAGGAAGTGGCTGTGTACAGAGCTGTGGTGCAGAAACTCTCTATCAAGTCCACCACCAAAACCATTGGTGTGTGTGTGTGTGTGTGTGTGTGTGTGTGTAGACCCATGGTGAAGTGGAGAGGCGTATAGTCTCGCAGCTCCTGACCCTGATGGATGGCCTGAAGCAAAGAGCTCATGTAGTCGTCATGGCAGCCACAAACCGACCAAACAGCATTGACCCTGCTCTGAGACGCTTTGGTCAGCACAGCAACCTAAACAATCATATACACACATAAACACAGATGCATTTACAAATGGTGACGTCTCTCTCCAGGCAGGTTTGACCGGGAGATTGACATTGGAATCCCTGATTCCACCGGCAGACTGGAGATCTTGCAGATTCACACCAAAAACATGAAGCTCGGGGACGACATTGACATGGAGAGGGTGAGAGAGAGTAGCAGCCCGGGCCAAGACAAACTGACAGTTGATTATGCTTCAACTATCTGGACTAATATTTCTGATGATTTGCTTATTTTTTGTCTTATGTGACAGCAAATTGAGTGCTTTTTGGTTTTGGAATGTTATTAATTTGACGAGAACACTAAATAAATTACTGGGCATATTAATGGATAGTAAAAATAATTGTTAGGGACATGTTACAGAATTACATTTTGTCCACAGCCCCTTCATTTTAAAGATTGTTATTTTTTTATAAACTGTATTATAATATGTTTCTCATGCAAATAAAAATGTAACAATATTCTTTCAGATAAAACTTCTGGGAGTCAATTAAAAAAGTGATTCAATTAAAGTACACATCTTTAATTTTAAGAAAACCCCAGCTTAGCAACATAACATTTACATGAATTCCAGTGGACTCCTGTAAACTTTACATTATATAAGAAGTTAGGGAAAATGGAATTGTGACTTTCTCTACAAATATGTTGTTCTCATTAATGAATGTTTAAGTGTTAAACCTCTTATAATGACAGATTCAATTGAGTTCAGTCAGACCGGCCAGTTCCATCAAATGATGTCTAATTTTAGTGTTAAAAAACAAACACTGGTTGCATGCACCGACATTTTGAAACGCATATGTGCTACTTAGTGAGTTAATAATAAAATCCCTAAACCTTTTTCAGATTGCCAAAGAGACCCACGGTCATGTAGGCGCTGACATGGCTGCTCTGTGCTCTGAAGCTGCTCTGCAAGCTATCCGCAAGAAGCTGACCCTCATCGACCTGGAGGATGATACCATCGATGCAGACCTGCTCAACTCACTGGCTGTCACCATGGACGACTTCCAGGTACACACGCAATTTAAACCAACACGCATACACTTTTTTGCTCATCCAAAGATAGTGTGGGTTATTTAAGTTTAACTTCTGTTACAGTCATTCCTGCCAAGAGTACAGATGTTAGAGACCCAACAACTCTGACCAATCAGAACAACGGGTCTTTTCCAAAACAGGGCCTTAAAGAGACAGGCGCTCAAATAACATAAAACATTAAGGCAAAACTTAAACGAGGACTTTAATGAAGTGTATTATGTCAACCAATTTCACATAACTGTAAAAGGTTAGTTAAAAGCACCTAACATTTTTTATTTAAACTGCTTCCAACCAGCCTAATATGTGATATCTGTTGACATTTAATTAAATTCACTGTTTCAGTTTTTCAGTGCATGCTCTAGTAGTAGAAAACGCAAATGCAATACAAAAGAACCTGAAATTAGCATTAATGCCTCCAAAAACGCAAGTGTGCACGTTGTGTACAACCACACTTAACGTAAATGTTTTGTAATGATACATAAATAAAGAAGAGTGATGCATTTCTGCTCCCTGACGTTTAACATGTCCTCTCTCAGTGGGCGCTGAGTCAGAGCAACCCCTCGGCTCTGAGAGAGACTGTTGCAGAGGTGCCTCAGGTGAACTGGGAGGACATTGGAGGACTGGACGAGGTCAAGAGAGAACTGCAAGAGCTTGTCCAGGTGAGAGACACTCACACACTCACACAAGCATGTTATGTGCATACCTACAAACAAAAGCCCCATCGGGGGTCCTTCCATCTCCACCTCGCTCTCCTCAGTACCCTGTGGAGTATCCAGACAAGTTCCTGAAATTTGGTATGACTCCGTCTCGCGGAGTGTTGTTCTACGGCCCTCCAGGCTGCGGGAAAACTCTGCTGGCTAAGGCCATCGCCCACGAGTGCCAAGCTAATTTCATCTCCATCAAAGGACCCGAAATGCTCACCATGTGGTTTGGAGAATCTGAGGCCAATGTCAGAGACGTGTTTGATAAGGTGAGAGCAGAAAAAGGAAAATGAGGCATTCTGGGATCATTCATTTCACACTCTAACTTGTAACCCCCTCTGCCTACAGGCCAGACAGGCAGCCCCCTGCATCTTGTTTTTTGATGAGTTGGACTCTATTGCCAAATCCAGAGGAGGGGGAGCAGGGGATGGAAGCGGTGCAGCTGACAGAGTCATCAACCAGATACTCACAGAGATGGACGGCATGTCGGACAAGAAGAATGTTTTCATTATTGGAGCCACGAACAGGTGCACATGTGGGAGTTTTGTGTTCAGGGATTGTTAGACACATAGAAAGTCCTGATCTCACTTCCTGTACCCCTCTTGTCCCACCAGGCCAGACATCATTGACAGTGCCATCCTGCGGCCGGGTCGTTTGGACCAGCTCATCTACATCCCGCTGCCGGACAAAGCGTCTCGCACAGCAATCCTGAACGCCAACCTTCGCAAGTCTCCTATTGCAAAAGTTAGTGATACACACATACAGAGATTAATTACTTTCTTATCTACACAACATGGAAGCACAATCTGCGTTTGTATATCAGCCAATAAGAACACCTTACCTGTGTCTGGTGAAGGTCATGGGCTAGATTTGTTCTTAAGCCTAACAACAGAGCCAATAGGAGGTGAAGAAGTCTAGTTTTCTCTCAAACTGCTTGAAAGACAGTTATTATGATTTGTTGTCCAATAATGACAAAAATAAACTGTCTACTCCAGAGGCACGTTACTATTCTACATCTTCCTCTCTTCTTCCTCTCCTTCCTGTAGGATGTGAACCTGGACTTCCTTTCTGGCATCACTGAGGGTTTCTCTGGAGCAGACCTGACAGAGATCTGCCAGCGGGCCTGTAAGATGGCCATCCGTGAGGCCATCGAGGCCGAGATCAAGGCTGAGCGCGAGAGGCAGAACCGACCCGGCGTCCCCATGGTCAGACTGTCAGACTGGCGGCTACAGCTGCATGCTTGATCCTACACCATACTATAATATGTTAAGCAGGAGAACAATAACTGGTGTAGTAGCCGATTATGCAAAATAGAATGTTCAAAGGCCACTTAATCTACGAGACGAATT